AGCTACCAGGCCCGTTTTAGACTGACTTCTGGCTTCTGCCTGCCTCAGCAAAGAGTTAATGACAAGATGAAAGTGCCTTTGTGAGAACATGTCCTTCACAAACTGTTAATTGGTGTCCTCACGCTATGGCGAACAGGATGTATGGAAGGATCCATAGACAGGCATGATCAGCAGTCACCTCTTAGGGCCAGTCAGTTATCCAGACCACAACCAAAAATTGCTGTCATGTTGTAAAAAGATATCCTGTCCTTAGAAAAGAAGGGTCTCAAAAGTATTTTTAATCAGATGGTCCCATTCAGGCTTTAGTTTAACATGTGTATATTATACAAAGAAAAATTAGTGGAAGAAGTAAATTTCAGTCTCTTCTCTCACTCTTTGGTATTTGAAATAGCTGCAGTTATGAGGGTCTTAAAATTATTTCCTACTGTTCTGTTTCCAATGTACAAAATTAGGAACATGTCTTGGTTGTCATGGTAATTATAATTCCCCATATCATTCTAACTTTTAATCTACTGTGCTTGTATCCTTCAGTTTATAGCTCGGGGCCATTCTCTCAATTGCATTTCAACTGAAGGTGATGGGTTAAATTAGATTTCATTGTTGTAGGGAAGAGACTAGTAAATGCAAGGGTATTATTAACTCAGCAGATAACTTGAATCCGTAAGTTTGAATAACAAGGAATGCAATAAATGCTTTACATTTATTTTTAAACTGGAATAGTAAAATCAACTCTTCTTCAGATTTGGAATTGACTCATGCTGACCACACAGGGACAGCCATGTTATTTTCTTGACAGTGTTGTTAAGACACCTTCTGGAATGTTCTTTTAGTTTCGCCAAACAAACCTACACTTCTGGAATATGCTGGTGATCTCTTATTACAGGCTGGTTTATGTTTGTGTTGGAAAAGAACATGTTTCTGTCTATTAATATAGAAATAAGTTCTAAAACAAAAGTATACAGCATATTCTCCAGCAGCGCACCGAGAAGGGACGTTCAGGTAAGACAACGTCCGATCTATTAGGTGTTTTATGAAATATAATGTCCTAAGAGTTACTTACTTAACCTGAGATGTCAAACTTTTGTATAGATTGCCCAATCTCTGTTAATGTCCCGTTAGAACTTTAATCTGCATTATTTGCTAAAACTGGCATATAAAATAATATATGATCCTATAGTCATGCTTGAGCTATAGGAGACTGCCGCATAATTCACTGTGAGCTTTCTTGCACAGGATCTCTTAGAATGAATGGATACTACAAAGCAAGTAATGATTTGCACAGATTTTATTCAGTAAGACAAACATTTTTAAAAAACCATCCTTATAGGTTTTCCCATTGGAGTTTCCCATTAGTCCAATGCAGTATCAGTATGGGCTAACATAATGAATCTGCTACTAAGAGCTGTAGTGGCACAGTTGTTATAATGCAGTACTGCAGGCTACTTCTGCTGAGTGCAATTTGGCAGATCGAATCTCACCAGGCTCAAGGTTGACTCAGCCTTCCATCCTTCCGAGGTTGGTAAAATGAGGACCCAGATTGTTGGGGGCAATATGTCAACTTTGTAAACCACTTAGAGAGGGCTGTAAAGTACTGTAAGGTGGTATATAAGTCTAAATTTTTTTAAAAAAAGAACTTGCCTAATTTTTCTACTGCAGTCACTGAATCAGCCTTCTTTTGGTGCATAGCAATTTCCCGCAAATTTAGTTATAATTCCATTCTGCCCATTTTCCACAATACTACACTTTAAAAAGGAACAGCTCATAAAAACTCACATATTTTTCAATCCAATTTTTCTTTACAGTGGCTGTGTGCAGTTTTGTGTATAATTATGGAACCAAGTACAGCATATGCATAATTGCAAGTAGCACATACTGAATGATAACTGGTTTCTAATATTCATTATTAGCCTGAAAAGTGGAAGCATTAGATTAGTTCAAAAAATGTAGATCAAGTACAGTCATACCTGAGTACTTGACTGCTTCAAAACATTTCAAATTCAATATTTGACACATTTTGAAGCAGAAATCTTTTCCCAGCACTCGCCTTTCTCCCAATAGTCAACATGCAAGGAAGAACTTGCTGATATCAGCTGCTTTATGACTTGCTATTTCTTCTGGCTGAAATAGTGAGTCACATGGTAAATTATGTGATTTTCTCGGTACCCATCAGTTTTAGTATTTGTTGCATCTTCTGGAATGCATTACCAACAAGTAACAAGGTACCACTGTACATTCTTTCCTAACCCTCTTCTTCATTCCCAAGAACATGGAGGATAAGGACTGTATCATTTAAATTGAATGATGTTAAATCATTTTAAAGTTGATTGCTTATGCCTGATACAATGCAGCTGAAGCATAAGTGAAAGTTTACACATTCTGTAATGATTATGCTCAATCCTGTGTTTTGCAGCTTTTTAAAAATTAATATTAAAGCACATTTCTGCAAAGACAAGCGATTGAAGTGTAAAGCCAAAGAGAAATAGGGTAAGGCATTTAATATGGCGTGAAGCTTCGCTTTGCAAAATTTGGATTTGTTCCCATTATTAAAACATATCAAAAAAAAGGAGGAAAGGTACAGAATCATGCGCCCAATTGATGTAGAATATAAAAATTGGCTTTTCCTTGATGAAAAACGTATTTTTTGTACCCCAAGTATGCATAATAGTGAATGGCCTTACCAGATAATCTTACAAACCATGCAATAGAGAAAATAGTACTGTAGCTTTATGTACTGTGCTATACTTATGTACTGTATCATAGGCAGATTTTTTTTGTCCCCCATCAATCAGCAACTCTTACAAAGTCCCTAGTATTCTTTCAGAGATACTATTGCTCACATCTGTATACATTGTTTAAAAATTGCTTTTCCAAAAAAGAAAGCTCCATCTTTTTGATTTATATGGCCTACCACTGTTGGCAGTCCAGGAATGATATTTTGGAACTAACACACATTCCTGGAAACCACAGTTCAAATTATAGTTTGTATAACCTGTAAATAGTTGAGGCTTTTCTTTGGAGAAAAATAGGTGTTGTGTCTCTTTATCTAATCTCTGCAATGTGTGAAGAGCCTGTTCCTTCTCATGTATAATGAAACCAGGATGGACAGGTGTGCCAAAGTATTGACACTCCTTCACATTTTCCCAAAGAATTCCAAATTGTCATAAAATAAGGTTGAAACTCGCACAAGTAAATGGCATCTACCTTCTAGAATCCATGCGTAGCAGACACATTGTTTATGATGAACAATTTAACATGGTCTTGTCAATAATAAAACAAAACATAAGCATAAAAGATTGGACTTCAGAGATAGGCGAGTTAACAATATTTGTTTTTAAATTATATATTTGGTTAATCAGAAAATATCTGTCTGATATTTTGAAAAGGCTTGGTTAATATTAAAAGCTTTTCTTTTTTAAATATTTACAAAATCAGGTGAACTTGGGATATGGTTGTAACTATAGGGTCTTTTGTGCAGTATTTTCTAAAGTTTTTCTTTATTTGGTGTACAGTAAATTATTATATTATTTTATGCATGTCTGTCTGATAATGGATCAGTAAATTTGGAGAAGCATTGACATAGTCAAAAGTTTGAACTAGCATGCCTGGGAATCCCTGCGGTGTTTGTCGTGGTCTGGCCTACCTCAAAGAGTGTAATAATAGCATCTGTCTACGTTTCCATATATCCCCTCTTAACATTAATAAAATCAAGGGCGGGTTATTCTCAGTTTCTTACGCTTGCTTTGAGTCTGGACCATCCAATTGCTTATCAAAATTCATCATTAATGGTTCTTTTGTACCAAGTTCATTTCTAAATTTACAAATACATTGCAAAGGGGTAAAGGTGGAGAGGGAAAGACAGTGGAGTAATACAGTGAAAGGCTACATGGGAGAGAATTTACAAGCATGATTGCATAGAGCACATTAGAAGAAGAAGATCCTAAAGTTGTTGGAGCCCCTAAAAGTGAGAGCAAAGCAGACATCTGGGCTTGTTCCTATTGTCTGCCAGCAATGCACCTCTGGATTCTGTGTCAGGCAGCCTAGAATTTGCACAAAAGAATTAATGGTCTCAAGTCAGACATCAGAACTCAACAAGCATAAAGTAATAATGGAGCATTTTAACTTCTCAGGGCATTCCAATAGAAATCTCAGAGAAGCAATTTTGGAACAAAGAAACTTTGCCGGCATAACTGAGCATAAGAGGTTTTAGGTTATTTCAGAAGGTCTGAACAAACACAATGGATTTAACAGATTTCAATTTGTAATTGATAAAATACTTTTTAACAGGTGCCACCAGATTTTTTCCCTAATTCTTGATTATGATAAAAACCTGCTGGGCCTGAATTAAGAGGTATAGATTCTGACTTGGCCTCATGCTTCTCAGTAAATGGGCTGTTTCTGATTATTACCATTCCTGAGGTATAAATAATGATTTAGTTCCCAGCTGTGTTTTTCAGAACGTCTGCTTGGAGGAGCTTGACTGGCAGGTTGAGTATTCTTGCTAATAAAAAAATGGGCATAACAACATGAAAATGGACTACAGCAATTTAATACAAAGGAAACATTAGCGCAATACTGGCTTTTATGCAATTTCCTACCTAGTGAAGCACAGTCAGAAATAAATTGATTCAGCTTCTAGACAGATGATGATGTCTGTCTAGAAAACAGGTCTGAAGCTGGTGCAAAACTGGAATTTTCAGGAATTCAGGACACTTCAAAAATCCTTGTTTTTCCTCATGCGTCTAGTTAAGCCACCAGTAATCTAAGCAAAACTTCAAAATGCTTCCTCCCTCTTTCTTCCTCCCTCCCTTCCACACTTCCTCCCTCTCTTCCATCCTTCTTTGCTTCCTTTCTTTCCTCCCTCCCTTCTCCCCTCCCTCTTTCCTTCCTTCCTTCCTCACTGTGCCTTCCTCTTCCTCGTTCACTTATTTCCTCCTTCCCTGTCGTTTTCTATCTTCCTTCCCTAGAATTCCTTCCTGATTCCCCATTTTGCTTGTGGCAAGCTTGCAGGGAGAAAAGTCAGTGGGGAAGCCAGCAGGAAGTTCCAAGTCCAAGGCCAGCAGGCAGGTAAATGACTGCTTCCGGATGGCAGAGGGAATCAATGGTAAACAGGAATGCACGAGCAGAGCCTTATGGGTTGGGAAGGGTCTGTTAGTGTGCACTAGAGATGGCATGTGATTTGGGGAGGGGGCATGGGTTGGGAAAGGTGCCCCAGGATGCACAAGAAGTGCTGTGTGGATCGGGGAGGGCACATGAGGTGCAGGGCAGGTTAAGAAGGGTTTGTGGAGCTAAGAGGTACCATGTAGATCAACTAGGGCACCAGCACAGGTTAAGAAGAATGTATGGGGGTAGGAGGAGTATGAGAGGTGTCGTGCCAATTAGGAATGGCAGACTGGTGAGGGTGGGGGGGTTGAATGGGCTCTGGAAACTATCTAGTGAAGAGAAGGGATTGAGGAAAACTTGTGGAGAAAGAATTAAGGTAAACTTCAGAAAAAGGATTCCCTCCCAGATAAGGAGATGCAGGGTTTAGAGCAGAATATCTGAAGGAACGGGATAAAGGAAACAAACAATGTTCAGTGCCTTAAGAAGTAACCATTTTTATTCTTTCAGCTCTTTGTGGATTGCTTCCACTTTAAGATGGATTTTATCAATGTATTCGCTAATGGAAGGCTTAAAAGAGCAAGGATGATAAGAATATGCAATATTGTATGAAAGGATGAGAAGCAGAGAGGAAACATTAGCCATAAAGAAAGCAACTACAGCGTCCTTGTCAGTTCTATACAATAAAAGCCAAGACCCTATTTATAGTTGTGAGAAAGGAAAATGTTTTCATGCATAGTTGCAGAAATGGAAAGGAGAGAAAATGGAAAACTTACCTGGCTTTAATCCAATTAAAAAAACAAAGTTTTATTTTATTCTTACGTCTACCCATCTTGCAAATGTAACTGGCAATCTAACAAAATTTAGAAACAATACAAAACAAGCAATAGCCAAAAGCAAGGACAAGCATGCTTTGCCAATCAAAGAAACTAGGAACCAACCCATCTGGACTAAACTATCCTCTTAACATCGAGACCTGGGAAAATAGCCAGTTCTTAAGAGCTTTCCAAAAAGTCAACTTAATCCTGGGTTCAGCCATAACAGAAAAGGCACTAAATAGAAATATAGTTCTGTCCTAACTCAGTCTTCTATCTTTGATGTGACAGAAACTAACCTCTGATAAAAAGATACTGCAAGAAACTTGGTACTGGTGGCAAATAATTCTTTTTTTTTTCCATCTGTCTTAAAATCAGAATATATTATTTCTGTAGTATTGCTTGGGGACTTTGTAAGTAGGTTTTACTACAAGCTCTGCCTAGAATTTGTCAGATTTTAATTGAGGAAGAGATCACCCAAAGATCCTACATAAGCTGTCTTCTGAAATGGCAGGTATGCTATTTGGCTTTTTTGGTACCCATTTTGCCATGTTTCCACAATGAAAGAGCTTTTGTTTAACCTTTGACCTTGTCCCCTTCTCAGCACAGGCTACCTTTCCTCCACAATAGCCAAATAAAAACTCCAATAACCTGTGCAGTAATGGTCACTGAAGCTTAAATATATCTGGAAAGCCACTGTTGAATGTACAAATGTTAATAATTAAGCAAGTGATTACACTGTACTGCTGACTAAAGTATCAGAGTATTTGAGAATATGTACACTAGGAGAAACTAAATAGCTCTAATTATTCTGAACTAAAAATATCTGAATTCTATTTAGCAAAAACAAGACTAAATAGATGTTGCAGAAAACAGAATGTTCTTTGACTTCATTCTGCAATTACCTTTGAAGTTTTGAAGTCATTGTTCTTGTTGGATTTTATTTTTATTTTTTTTATCACATTGTACAAATCTATTTACTTTTTTCTTGCCAGATTTGGCTCCATTTACAGGTAGCCCTCAACTGGAAATGGAAATCTGGCTTTAAATTGAGGCATCCACGTCACTGGACTCATTTTTACAACATTTTTTGTGACAGTCATTAAGTGAACCCATTCTTCTGAATGGTTATCTTTTGCTTGGAAAATAGAGGTCATGTGATTATGAGACACTGCAGTTAGTCATAAATCTGAGGCAGATTATCAAGCGCCAAAAGTGCAATCACATGATTACAGGAAGCACAACATTTTATAACAGCTGGAAGCGCTTCGTAGGCTTTATAGATGGTTTCTTGAGTGATGAACAGTAAATGGATTTAGACCTGGTTATATTTAGAACAAATATTGTGTATTGTAGATATGAATAATATGCATAATGTTGTATGTAAACAATGCCACGTTGACCTCTGAGAATGCTGATGATTTACACATAGATTACGTGATGCAACAAGAAGCACAGATCTGAAAATTTAGGTATCAAAGACCAAGCTGGATTATTCATTTGATTGACAAGAAAAATGAAGTGAACCATTGCAATTTATAAGCAAGTAGATTAAATTCTGTACCCCTTTCTGAAGAAATGGAAAAAAATTAATATGTGCAAATGTCGGTAATATGCTAGGAGTGAACGTTCAAACGAATGAAACTGTAAGAGAGCATTCTTCCTTTATTGCTGTATTGATGTGAGAGTTGACACATGAGAAATATGTGGTTTCAGTAGAAATGGAACATTAAATGAAGCACTTTGGTTAAAAACAAGCCGAGTTAGCATCAGTGCTCAATAAAAATGGAGTGAATGTAAAAATTCTCTTTTTCAGAATGCCAAGCAGACAGCTATGACATTTGTGTATATGTGTTTTGTGTGATTGGTACCAATTGGCTACATAAGGATTTATAAATAATTAATTCACTATTAGTTATTCAACATTATTCTTATCATAGCTGGGAAGAGCAGATGGGAATTAGCCATGTTCACCAACAGGTAGATTGTGGCCTAAATTTAACTTAGAATCATGGGCTAGGAGAAATGTCTTAGGCAAACACACAGAGAGAGGCTATCATACTATTTTATTTCTTTGAGGAGCAAAGTAAAATTTATTTCTCTTTATTGGAGTAAAATTTAAACCTAAAAACATTCAAATAACTATTCATAAAAATAAACTGACATTTATGAATAAATCACATGTCAGAAAACACTTGGGTCAAATTCTGAGATTATACTTTCAGTGTGTAAAGTTCTGAAATGTTATCTGATGGGAAAGATGCTTCCATGATGGATTGTCCTTTTTCAACTGAACTATTCAAATGTATTTTTGTCTAATATCTGCATGGCTATTCCTCCTCCTTAAATAATTTTGCTTTTTAAAACAAAACCTGAATTGTATATTTCTCAGTATTGAAATACATATTCTTCTTCACCTTTTAATTTGCAAAGCAATTGAATCATTACTTAGTAAATCTATCTCCCTGTATCAAGGAACTTCAATGTTAGTTTTTCACAACTTTAGGCTAGCTTTTTTCAAAACATCTGGCATACTTTATTGGTGGGTAAGATTTGAAGCTGATCTCTCAGAATAATTGTTGTTGGTTTGTTTTCTAGCCATGTGACACAGACAACATCCTGGATCCATCCTGTCACTAATGTACTTGCCTTGTCATGCTTGGAAGGGAACGAGGATGATGGTTTCAGAGAACTTCCGGATCCCCAAACCTGAGACCATAGATGAAAAATAACCTGCTTTCAACAGTTTATTCATCAACAGAAATGAATTAAAGCTTAGTTATTGTTTCTGTACAACAGATTTTCAGGATAAACAATTGCCCTCACAAGATCAGTATTATACAGAAGAACCAGTTTCATATTCCAAGAGCTTAATTTTAATATTGTTTATGTCCTTCCGATTACAAATTCATATTCTTTGCAAATCAATCATAAATATCTTCTTGCATTCCTGATAATTATTGCTGGTAACAGATGATATCTGGCCCAAGAGCTGAATTGTTTCCTATTGTACTTTATTCAATAGCGCTGAGTCCCTCAAGCTAGTCCTACCATGAGGTAGATTTAAAAGACTAGAGTCAGAAAGTTTGGGGTTATAGAAAGGTAACAAAAACAGTTGTTGATTTTGGGGCTTTGTTTTGGTGCCTTTGAGTCAGCATTGATCCTGATGACACTTTGGACAAGTCCCTGAAGGCTTTTTGGCAAGATTTTGGAAGTGGTTCGCTTTTGCCTTCTCTCTGAGAGAGACTGGCCCAAAGTCACCCCGCTGGCTTTGTGCCTAAGGCAAGACTAAAATTCACAATCTAGATTTCTAGCCTTGTGCCTTCACCATTTCATTAGATTGACTCTCCAGTTATTTACCTAGCTATTACATTTTTACTGGAAGGGGTGGGGGTGTCACTTAAAAATATACTTCCTAGGATATTTTGAGGAATTTCCACTGGAGTTGGGTAACCAGTCAGCACTATTTGTTCTCTTAGATCTGGAAATATCAGCCTTTATACCTGATAGAGTAAACTGTAGCTCATCAAAGCTTATGGCGTTTAATAAAATGTGTTAGTCAGAAAAGATGCTACCAGACTCTTTCTGACACTTTGCCACCATAGACTAGCATGGCTGTCTTCTTAATGTCTCTACCAAATTAATGATGTGGTGTATCTGTTGTGCAACTCTTTAGTTCCATACGTTTCCAAACAGTTATCAATACATAAACGTAAGTAATTAGCAGAGCAGTTTTAACTTATGCTCAGCTATAGTAACATTTCAGCAATCTGGAGTTGTTTGGGTTTTTTAAAAACCTATTAATAGCTCTTCAGAAGTAGGTTGCTATGTCCAGTGTACTTCTTTATCCTAGCATCATATTGCTGGCAGTAGTGGGTTCCACTTACATTCACTACCGGTTCATGTGCTTGCTTCACTCACATGCAGCGCTTCTGCTCATGCACAGGACCTGTGCATGCGCAGAGCATCCGTGATGATGTCCATGAAACCCACCACTGATTGCTGGTCAGATAAATTCCAGTCGCTTCACATTTTTTACTGACGTCAGATTATGTTCTGTTAAAAAGCAAAGTATTTTCCAGCCTTGGCTTATTTTCTTTTATAAGTTACAACATGTATTTCACTATGTGGGCAAATGCAAATGGAATATGTAGTCTTAAAATATAGTGCCTTAGCTGTTTGTAAGTATTAGTAATGTTCTTAATAGATTTTATAACAAAATTAGCCTAAATTTACCCTTTTTTTTTATTTCCCGTATTATAAGCCTTCCCAATTTTTCACTTTTTCTTTTTGCACATGATTATAATAAGCTAATGAGAGACATTGTATTGTCATTGCATTCAATCTTAATAGATGAATAAATGATATTTCTTTCACGGTTTTAAAGTTTGAAGTATTTAGTCTTCTCAAAGCTGTGACTAGTAATCATAAGAGCTGGAAATTTTACTGTAGCAGATTATAGTAACTTGCTAGCTGTGGACTAAGGGGCATATTCCAAAACACATGCTTAACAAGCCAAAATCAATCAAAAGTTATTTATAAGTTGGGAAATTTATCTATTCCCAAAGTGTACAGTACTTGCATTCCCTTTGTCCTGTATATCAGTGGTCCCCAATTTTTCTGCCACTATTTATTTATTTATTTATTATTATTAATTAAATTTCTATACCGCCCTTCTCCAATAGGACTCAGGGCGGTGCACAGCCAAGATAAAAACAAAGCATACAAAATTTAAGAACAGTATTAAAATAATTAAATATTTTGGCCGAAATTAAGATAACCCAGTTTAAAATCAATTTAAAATTTAACTCAGGCCAGCCCAGCTTGTTGAAATAAATAGGTTTTCAGGGCCCGACGAAAAATCCGGAGGTCTGTTATTATACGTAACTCTGGGGGAAGGTTGTTCCAGAGGGTGGGCGCCGTCACAGAGAAGGCTCTCCCCCTGGGGGTCGCCAGCCGACATTGTCTGGCGGACGGCACCCTGAGGAGGCCCACTCTGTGCGAGCGTACTGGCCGGTGGGAGGCTATTGGTGGCAGAAGGTGGTCTCGTAAATACCCCGGCCCTAAGCCATGGAGCGCTTTAAAGGTGGTCACCAACACCTTGAAGCGCACCCGGAAGACCACTGGGAGCCAGTGCAGCTCGTGCAGGAGAGGTGTCACATGGGAGCGCCTCGTCGCCCCCATAATCCCCCGCGCGGCCGCGTTCTGGACCAGCTGGAGCCTCCGGGTGCACCCCAGGGGGAGCCCCATGTAGAGAGCGTTGCAGTAGTCCAGGCGGGAAATGACTAGTGCCTGAGTGACTGTGCGTAGAGAGTCCCGATCTAGAAAGGGGCGCAGCTGGCGTATCAGGCGAACCTGATAAAAAGCCCCCCTGGCCACGGCCGTCAAATGATCTTCTAAAGACAGCCGTGCGTCCAGGAGGACGCCCAAGTTGCGAGCCCTCTCCGTGGGGGCGAGTGATTCGCCCCCAATAGCCAGCGATGGCGTCAGCTGGCTATATCGGGACGCTGGAAGCCACAGCCACTCGGTCTTGGAGGGGTTGAGTCGGAGCCTGTTTCTCCCCATCCAGGCCCGCACGGCCTCCAGACACTGGGACATCACTTCAAGGGCATCGTTGGGGTGGCCTGGGGTGGAGATGTACAGCTGGGTGTCATCAGCGTACTGATGGAACTCCACCCCAAAGCCACGGATGAACTCACCCAGCGGCTTTACATAAATGTTGAACAGAAGGGGCGAGAGGACCGACCCTTGTGGCACCCCACAAGCAAGGTGCCTCGGGGTCGACCGCTGCCCCCCCGTCAACACAGATTGCGACCGGTCAGAGAGGTAGGAGGAGAACCACCGCAGAACGGGGCCCCCCACCCCCAACCCCGCCAACCGGTGCAACATGATACCATGGTCGATGGTATCAAAAGCCGCTGAGAGGTCTAACAGGACCAGGATAGAGGAGCAACCCCTATCCCGAGCCCTCCAGAGATCATCCACCAACGCGACCAATGCCGTTTCCGTGCTGTGCCCAGGCCGGAAGCCGGACTGGAGCGGGTCTAGATAGACAGCTTCATCCAGGTACCGGGGAAGCTGTTGCGCCACCACACTCTCAACAACCTTCGCAACAAAGCGAAGGTTGGAGACTGGACGATAGTTAGCCAAAACAGCCGGATCCAGAGAGGGCTTCTTGAGGAGGGGCCTCACAACCGCTTCTTTCAAAGCGGCCGGCAGGACCCCCTCACTCAAAGAAGCGTTAACAATCTTCTGGAGCCAGCCTCGTGTCACCTCCCAGGAAGCCAGTACCAACCAGGAGGGACACGGGTCCAATAAACATGTGGTCGCGTTCAGCCGTCCCAGGACCCTGTCCATGTCCTCGGGAGCCACAGGATCGAACTCCCCCCAGATAACACTCTCAAGACCTGCCTCAGTCATCCCGTCCGGACATACCCAGTCAGAGGCCAGTCCTTCCCGAATCTGAACGATTTTGTCATACAGATACTGCACAAAGTCCTCGGCTCGGCCCTGCAAGGGGTCATCCCGCGCTTCCAGATGGAGGAGGGAGCGGGTCACCCTAAACAGGGCGGCCGGGCGATTATCTGATGACGCGATAAGAGCGGCAAAATAACTAGATTTCGCCGCTTTTATCGCCACTAGGTAGGTCTTAATATGAGACCTCACCAGTGTTCGGTCGGATTCGGAGCGACTGGTCCTCCAACTACTCTCCAGGCGTCTTTTCCGGCGCTTCATCTCCCTGAGCTCCTCGGAGAACCAAGGAGCTAGGTGAGTTCGGTGCCGGGTCAGAGGCCGCAAAGGCACGACACGGTCCAAGGTCCCGGCAGCCGCACTATCCCAGGCGGCCACCAGGTCCTCAGTCGAGTCATGAGCCAGAGTCTCAGGAAATGGCCCAAGCTCCATCTGGAACCTATCAGGGTCCATCAGGCGCCTGGGGCGGAACCACCTGGTCGGTCCCGCCTCCCTGCGGCGGGGTGCAGCGGTTAGAAAGTCCAGTCGAAGGAGCGAGTGGTCAGACCATGACAAGGGTTCGATGACTATATCCCCTGTATCAAGGCCACTCAACCACTGACCAGAGACAAAAACTAAGTCCAGAGTGTGTCCACCCGTGTGAGTGGGGTCATGAATTAACTGAGTAAGGTCCATGGCCGTCATGGAAGCCATGAACTCTCGAGCCACCTCAGACGTTTCGCCGACAGATGGCAGGTTGAAATCCCCCATGACTAGAAGTCTGGGGGTACCAGCCGCCACCTCAGCAATGACGTTGAGCAGCTCGAGCAGGGCCGTTGCCACGCGGCAGGGAGCCAGGTACGTGATCAACAAGCCCATCTGTACTCCACGACCCCACCTCACAAAAAGGGACTCACATCCGGCTATCTAGGAACTGGTTTCAGAAGAAAATTGTCTTCCGGGGGCTGGGGGGAATGATTTTGCATACAACCTAGATCCTGTACATGTGCAGATTAAGTTTCATTCGCTCGCCTGCCACTAGTGCAGACCAGTTCCTAACAAGCCACAGACTGGTACCAGTCCGCAGCCTGGGGGTTGGGAACTCCTGATGTATATCAATCAGTTGTTTCATGAAGTGCCTGACTCATGAGAGCAGCAAATCAATTTATATATTATAATGAAAGCCTGCTGGCAAGGGAAACATTTTGGAAATAACTTTGCCAACTAAAATTATATTAGGTAGCATTCCAAGATATAACTTAGAGAAGATCCTTATTACCAACTTAGTACTTTTTTTGTGTGGTCATAATAGCATAGAAAGCCATCCCATCTAAGTACAGCTCCTACAAGCTGTGAAGGGCATCTCCCTATGATCATCCTAATGCTCCCTTTTGCAACAGCTGGCTTCTCTTCCTTGGCATCTCTCCTTGATTATAGTTGTTGCCTGGAAACTGTTGCCAGAGATTGTTGGACTCTTAAGCTCTACCAGGCAAAATCACCTGTTTTGTGGTCAAAATGATGGGAGTTGTGGTACAACACAGATCTAGGAGACTACAATTTCCCTCTCTTAAAGTTTGGGGTGAGGCAATGCAGGTAATGTTTATTTTTATTATCATCATCTTAAGACATTTCATACACATTGCAGTCCATAGCTTCATAAAATAGCTCTTTCATCTATATAGAGATGTGTTTTGTGCTGGGGTACTTAAATAATTGATATGACATTTCAGTAATTACGGGGGGGCACTTAATTTGTAACCCATTCGTAATAACAAGAATGATGAAATTGACATGTAAATGATCAAGAATGAATTGCCAGAAGCTCCCAATTTAGTATTCTGACATTTGACTAGCAACATTGGCTCTGAAAGCCAAAAACAAACTCCCATGGAAACTGTCAGTGAACTTAATGTCTTTATTTTTATTGAAAGAACCCTCTTCAACATGATTCATGATGAATCCCCATTTCAGTTTCTCTAGTATTTGTCTGATTTATGAGTGCCCTTGAAAATCTCCCTGGATTGTGGATTTTAAAATGCTTACAGAGTGTTTAAAACATACCCTTCTCTAGAAAATCAGTTCTACTAGTCAGTCACTCTTATGTTCAAAAGCTTTTTCTGATTTTCAACTGAAACCTTCCTTTATTCCATGCCTCAGACTCTGTGATAAGTGTAACTTTTCTCCATGGGACTGACAACTCTTCAAACTGATAGAGCACACTTAACTCAGGCAGCCCCCTTACCTATTCAGATCTTAGCAGTGTTTCTGGCAGCACACAGTCACATTGAATCAAGGTTGTATTTTGGGAATAACGTCCTCAGCCACAAACCATGATATACCATAAGCCCTTCAAGCAGGTGGCAAGAGAGGGCTGTCAGGGAAAACTAGGCATGGTTTGGGCACTGTAGCCAGTCTGTGTTTGGAATTGTGTATTTGTATTGCCAGGCATCACTATATAACAAAGAGGCTTTCTTTTTCATCCATTCTTTCTCTCCAACACTTTCTTACAGAACTAACTGGGCAAAAATAGGACAACTATGTTTTGGGGTTTCCCATGATAAGTATAACTTGCACGTTTATCACTATGCAAGACAGGGTCTATTTGGGGATAAGTTTATTCTCTTCAGGTTAGTTGAATGAATCAACTAATTCCCTTGTTGGTATCCCATAAGATACATCTCCTCCCCCAATTGTGATTAAGTGTGTTATGAGATCAGTGCCATCGTTGATATCAAGTTTCCCCCAGCATTATCTTCAGAAAGTATTTTCCCCCCCATCCCACATAACATTTAGTTTCAATACCATCATTGAGGAAGATGGGGAGGTCTAGAAACACAAGATATAAATAAATTAAACAAATAAAATTATCTTTACCTCTGTTCCCCCGCCCCCACCGGAGGAAAAACTTCAGTTGTTGACTTAAACAAAAT